ACGAACTTAACCAGATTTCTTTACTCAGGCCTTCTTTGAGGATTTCAAGTGCTAATATACATGCTTAACTAACCTTTTTTCATAGTCTACTAACATCTTTCAGAAGTGTAAGAGGGAATAGTTTAAGAATCATGTAGTATCCATAGGATTATATGATCCTGTGGGACTCCTTGGTAAACCAATTCAGAACACTCTTTGGCAGCCAGATTCAGAGCCTACTCCAAAATATTCTGCAGAAAGTCAGAATGTCACAATTTACGGACAAATGGCACTTAGAATGCCACCACATAACTGCAGCATGAGTGGCAAAATGTAACTAGCAAGTAAAATGGAAACTGAATTTATTATCTTGACACGATCTGTAAGGAAACAATGGTGAACAGACATCAAACAGATGTTTGGATTGGTATTTTAGAAAATACTGGAATCCCAAAGGTAAAATTTCATGTATAGTATGCCCTGCTCCTAATGACTAGCAAGCCAAATTGTTTCAGATCTGATATTTTAAAGCAATTATAACTTTATTTATTGAATCATTTACTTGCTGCTAAACTATGAAAGAAAACTTTAAAGACTACAAAGGAAACTAAAACACAGTTCCTGCTCATAGGTGCTCCAGAGCACTTGAATTTGAACACGAAAATATACATAATTTTTGCATAAGATATAATTTTCATACAATTATCTAAAATAGAGAATGAACTTACACATCTAGCACTGAAGAGTTTGGAGACTTTCAGAGACAAGTTGATATTTGAACTTAAAGGATAAGTAGAATTTGCCAGAAGGAAAAGGAGAAACCTCATGAAAGTCACTGAATTCAAATATGCAAACCCCATATTTAACAACATAAAAACTTACTCCTTGTAAAACAGAAAAGAGGGAATTGATGTTTATACGTAATAGAAACATAAATCAAAAATAAAGAAATTTTCCAAATTACTTTTTGAGAGAAACTTTTCTAATGTAAAAATCTTTATTTTCTCTTTTGTTCTTGATCATAGAAACCAGTATGTAAGTTTGAGCACATCAGAGAAGCCCAGTGCTGGCCTCTGCAGACTTTTAAAATTTGACCAAGAAAATGAGAAACACATAGTTATTTCAAAATGTTTTCTCATTTTAACTTTAGAATAGTGTCCACAATATACAGGAAATTGCTATTGCCAAAGACTGTTGCTCTTTTGGATACTTTTAGATCACTATATTTTTAAAAGTAGAATTAGAGAGTAAAGCTTTACCTTGCTATGTATCTGTTTGTTTCTTAGAGTATCACATCTCAATGTGACCATTTTACTCAACAACCTGTGTGCATGTGTATTACTGGGATTTAAACTTAGGGCCTTTGCACTGAGCTAAGCCCCAGCCCTTTTTTTATTAGCTAAGTCACTAAATTGCCCAGGCTTGAACTTGCAATCCTCTTGCCTTAGCCTTTCAAAGTGCTAGGATTACAGGTGTGTGCCACCATGCCCAGCCTCAAGAACTGTTCTATATGTTACATTTTTATATATTTATACCTTTGCATACGTATATTCAGGGTGATGACTACTTATATTTCCAAATACTTAAAATAAGTAATCTGTATTTAACAAAAATAGGAATCTTTACAAATTATTAAGTACAATTACAAATATAGATCTTCATCCTTTGAGCCTGTCAGAGAGGAATCAATGATTTTCTTGGTCATGTTTGCTAGTGCATGTCTGGATCTATGCTACATCTCAATCTCACTTTCTCCCATTTGGATTTTGTTTTCTTTATGTCCATAGCATAAATTCCTTGAGGTAAGGGGTATTTTCTTGCTCTGTCTCACAACCCCAGAAACCTTATGCAGGGTGCATAGTCACTGATGTGCAGACCTTACTCTGAATGAAACTATAACCACTTAATTGCTACATACATAAGTATTTGAGAATTACAAGTATGAAGTTGAACCAAGTTCTTAAGAAGCAGTGAGGGTTTAGATTTTTTTTCCTAGTGTTGGGGGAGACAGGGAAAGTACATAAAGAAAAGCAAATATCTAGGATCTGGATGAGGACATCTGCTATTTACACAGGACATTTCTCTCAAAGGCCAAAGTACTGCACAAATCTGCCATTGTTGCTGTTCATAGGACAACCACAAAGACAACCTAGGATCCAGGTAATGTCCTGTCACTGTTCTCTCCTTTCAGTGTTCTGTTCAGTGAACAGCAAAAGTAAATAGTACTTCTCAAACCAAATTCCCATGCGTCATCTGTAGTTAGAACATTAGCTGATTAGCTGTCTGGGTAGCAAGTAATAGCCGCTGAAATCGGCCGAAGGATAGATGGGCCCCTGGGCCCGTCTGTGTCTTATTTTCTCTTTCTGAATGATGGAAATGATCATCATGTTCTCTAATGTGCTATCTCGAAGTAATACAACTGCTAAGCAAAAAATACTGAATGTCAAAGAGGGTTAAAGTGGTGCTGGAGGACCATGCTCCTGTGCCAGAGTTAAGCCATATTCTTTCAGCATGATTGATATAATAGCTAATATTTATTAGGGGCTTACTGCACGTCAAGGAATGGTTCTAAGCACTTTATGTGTATTCATTCTAAGTCATTCTTTTCATCACTGGACAAAATACCTGGCACCTGCAACTAAAAGTAGAACTTTGTTTTGGCTCATGTTTCATTCTGTAGTCAGCCTACTCCAAGGCAGGACAGCATGGCACAGGGGCATGGTGGAGAAATAGCTGCTCACCTTATGGTAAATAGGAAGCAGAGAGAGTCAAGGCAGGGGCCTAGAAGGGAGATAATCCCTTCCAGGTCATGCCCACAGTGACCTGCCTCTTCTAACCAGCCCTCACCTCTTAACAGGGATCGCTATAATACCCCACACCCCAATCACCTCCCAAACACATGAAGGTTTGGGCGCGAGTTTAGATTTAAACCATAACACATTCCTTCAATTCTGAAAACACTCTATGACTTTTAAGTAGCCTGATTTTATAGAGGAGGAAATTGAGGCACAGAAAATCCAAACACCACACAGCTAGTAGGTGGCAGACTGTGAAATAGTACCCATCCACACAGTTGGAGCCCCTGGTACACCCTTAATTGTGTTGCTGTATTGTCCACCCCTGATCACCTCATTCCCTTTATGCCTAGCACAATGTTTTGTATGTAATAAGTGCTCAATAAATATTTGATGGAGTAAACCCAATAAAACTTGAGTATATACGAAAATTCCTTTTTTCAATATCCTTTCAAGTCCCCAGATTCTCTATTAAGTTGACTTTTAATGGTATTTCTCCAAGTGGGAGCTACTGACTCTTCAAAGATCCATAATTTAATCTTTTCCATTTTTAGAATAAAAAAGAACATAAGTGCACTCTGAATTATTGGGATGGCCATCTCATATGAAGTACTACATGTGGATTTCAGTGCCTGTGTGTGCTGTTCTTTAGACTCGAGAGTTACTACTTCACTCTGTGCTAATAAAGAAAGGGAGAACAAGGTTAATCCTGAAACGATGGGTAAAAGTCAAGGGAAACCCAATGACACAGGGTGAAGAAAAGAGATATGGTAGGTCAAAGAGAGGAAAAAGGTGACAAAATTGACTTAATACAAAGCACCTTGCACACCATGAGAGTGACGGAGCCACGGAGAGCTCAAAAGGGCCCATACCTAAGCACTCTGTACTCCATGGTACAGGTAGAAGTCGAGGAAATGGTGCTAATGTAAATTTTATTGTTCTGGAAGATAATTTTTATATTTAATTTATAAATTTGTTTTGGTTTTATTCTCATGTTATTCATAAGCTGTAAGTTTAGAACTGATTTTATGACTATACTTACATGGATTTTTTTTTTAGTCAGGACTAGGGAGGTCTAAGAAAATTTTGCCCTTAAAATGGTGGACAGTGTTATCTTATGTTTGAGAAACACCACACAATAATGTATTCAGGCTTATCCTATTCAAAATCAATTGCAAACACAAAAGGATTAGGCATGTCATTAACATTTTTGTGTGGAATAGTATGTTAGGCCCTTCCTTTCTGAGAATAGGCTTTGAAAGGAAAAAGGAAAGTCAAGTGGCTTGACAGAAGAAAAAAAAATGTGGCCTCACAAAAATCTTTTCCTACCATTCAATAGCTGTGTAAAATTTAAAGCAAGTTATTAAACCTCTCCAAACCACCAGTCGTTTTGTAAATTGGCGACAATCTCTTCATCCTCTTCACCACAAGGATTCATGGGAGGCACCTAATAGACAGTAATCTATATTAACATCAATGCACTGGGGAGAAACTAGCAAGGCTCTAGCTTTAGGTCCTTAAATAGTGAGGTCAACAGTCTTGATAAGAGAAGACCCCGACCTGCGGACTCCCTGGAGTGACTAGGGAAAGCAGGCCCACTGGGTGAGGAGATGGCTCCACCATCTGGTGCCCAATAAAGAAGCCAGACCAGGGGGCTCACCAACCAGCGCCCCCCCGCCCCTTGCTCCCGACCCACGCACCGAACTGAGTGCTGCAGGAGACAAAGCAGTGGTGGTCCGGCCACTGGGGTGCAGGTTTTGCTCCTTGGAGATACTGGAGACCCCAGGTAACGCGAAAAGAACCTCGGTCGCCACTTTAAAGCGCTCAAAATGTACGCGGGTGGGGGACGCACGGGTTTTGAGTCAACTCCTCATTTGCTCGAGTTTCCCGTGCGCCTGGTGTGGCCGCTTCCCTACTTCTCGGTTAGGGGAAAGCGCCTTTGGGGGACACCTTGTCTTTGCGAGCTGGCGGCAGCAGACTCCAGGAAGCTAAGGCCCTAGGCTTGCCGAAGAGGCTGCGCCCCAGCCCCGGTGCGCGTGGTCCACAGGGTGCAGACGCGTGGGTCCCCACCTGCGCCGGCCGCAGACCCCCGGGCTGCCGCGCCCTGCCGGGCCGGAGCGCGCGGCGAGGGGCGGAGGAGGGGGCCGCGTGCTGTGGGGCCGGGGCCGGAGGCGGGGCGGGCGGCTCGGAGGCTCGGGGGGCGGGGCCGCCCGCCCGCTCGCACTCCGTCTCGCCGCGGGGCAGGCATGGGAGCCGCGCGCGCCCTCCCGGCTCCCACACCTGTCTGAGCCGCGCAGCGAGCCACGGCCGGGGCGGGCCGCTCCGCGCTGGTGAGTGGGGCCGGGCCGGACGCGCGCCGGGGCGGGAGGACCGAGGAGCCCAGGAGCGGGACAAAGGGCCGGGTGCGCGCGAGGTGGGGCTGCAGGGGCACCGGAGACCTCGCCCTGGCCGCTGGGGCCGACTCTGGGCTGGGATGGGGTCTGCAGGGCATTGGCATTCACGCAGTGTCACCCGTGAAGCGGATGGGGAAAGAAAGTTTTGAAACTGCGAGGCAGGCTGCTGGGTGGGAAGACAGGCTGAGAGTTGCGGTGGAGCGCTCCGGGCAAGCTGTTCTCTGGCTGGGAGAAGGCAACACCGCCACCCCCTGCAGGACCCCGCCACCACCACTTGTTTTTGATAGGGTTTGCATACAGTGCGTGTGCTTCCTTCACGTTCTCAACATTAATTTTTAACCCTACACACGTGATTGTGAACACACTTTAGCAAGCAAGAAAAGGTCAGCAAACACGGGCTGGGGGATAGGCTTTTTTTCTCTGGGGGATGTAGTGGGGTGCTAAACCTAGAAACTGCTCTTTGACCAGTCAACCGTTGTTGCCTGCAAATATTTCTCCTTCAGCCTGCAATCATCCATCTCAAGTTAACTTTTAAATAAAAAGTTTCCTTTTGTTATTGAAAACTTTTCGAAAGAGGGGAGATTTTTTTAGGACAAGCAACAGCACCACTGCCCTCCAGAATACAAATTAGCTTTGTTTTTAAATATCTCATGAGAAAGCAGCTGATAAAAATCCTGTTTGTTTTATTATCCATTGGGCAACACCCAGGAGAATTTAGAAGTAGCCCATGGCTAGGGGAAAACCTGAGGTTGTTCAGTATGAGGGTTGGAATAGAGTTTGCTTGTCTCAGCTCCTGAAACTGAATTTGAGGGATCTTGTGAGCTCCTCAGGAACAGGTAGGCCTATGCTAGAATTGTCTTCACACGGCCCTGAGGGGAAAGGTTGATTTATAGGGGAAGTCAGCCATAGCCAAAATTCCTATGGCAAATTAGTATCAGGATATTTAGTGCATATTGTTTCGAGATCCAACTTGTGTATGAGAACATTTAAAACAGGTTTTATAACTGTATTTTAAGTAGTCTCTTAGGAATGGATTGGAAGTGGAATGGGAAGAAAGAACTTGGTAAATGCCACAGAAACCACTACATTTACTTCTGAAAGTGTTTGTGATCATATACATACCACCTGCATGTGAAAAATTCTTCACTTGTACCCTTCGCATCTAAATAAAGTCGAAAGTTAACTTTTTATGCTTTCCTCTACCTGAGCTGAGAAGGAAGTGTATGGATCTCATCTTTGTAACACTGAGGATATTCAGGTAGATGGTGAATGGGTGAGTGTTTTTCTGTCTGAGCATAAGTGCCGGAGGACCCATTACTGTGTCTGAGAACATTGCTGGGCCCAGTCTGTGGTGTTTAATGGTCTCAGGTTTTCCTGAACATCTCTCTCATAGATCCTTTAGGATTTAGTGCACCAGGCATTACTCATGCACAACTCTCACTGACTCTGGGGAATTTCTCATGGTCTCACCATTGACAGTTTTTTTAATTGATTTTGTTTTTGTTCTCCTGCCAAGTTGCTCTTAGAGTCACTAAGGTAGTTCATGTTGTGTAAAAACTGTTAGAGAAGAAGTTAAACTTCTTTCGACCACAAGATTGTGTTTAGAGTTGCTGGGCTTTATAAGTGCTCTGAAGTTTCCTACAGAAGACTGTTCTTAAGCCATTATGTCATTAGGTCTGTTTGGCTTTAACAAGTTCTTTGACTTGGGAAAATGAGATCAAACCTGGCTATAGAGTATTCACAGATCATTGTTCATTTTTAGGTGTTTGGTTTAGGTATTAGCATGATTTCACTGTTGAGTATCCATGGGCATAGATCGCATGAAGACCCGTTGTCATCTTTCTTTGGTATCCAAAACTAGCATCTTTACACATTTTCTTGCAGTTTTTTTTTCTGTCATTACCGCTTACAGAGATCTCAAGAATTCATCCGTTGTACAATAGAGAGTGAATACTGGAAGGATTGGGCTTTCCCTCGCAGCACTTGTTTGCTGTAGGAATTAAATCATTTTCTCAAACACTTGGCCCTCTTGAGGAGACCTGTCCTTGCAGTTTTGCAGACCAAAGTGCAGAACAAGAGATGGTAGTTGCAGTGCTCTGTCTCCAAAGATGCTGTTGTCGTCTGCACATCTGGTAATGTGCAAAGTCCTTCCACCGTAAGATTGTTAGTGAGTTTATGAAGTGGCAGCGTACTCATAAAGTATAAATATTCTGAGACACTGGACAAGGAGACAGTGGCTCATATTGCATGATGGAGCAAGGAATGTGTAACCCCCTTGTGAGTCAGATACCCAGAGTTGGAAAAGGAATACAGTTTCTATATTACTAAGCATGGTGAAAACATATTTGCTTACCTTAATTTTCCATTCTGCTTTGCCATTTGGGTAAAGTGATGCATGAAAACACTTAGTTGAAAACTTTGAAAGATAATATATGTATATGAGGAATTTTTATCTGACAAATGCGTATTCCTAGAAATGGGATGGTGTAGATCTAAATTTTCTTCATCCTGATTTAGATATAATAAAATTTGTAACCTTTCATTTCTTTGTTTAAGGTGTGTTTAGACATCTCTAGAAAGATAAAGTGATCCACTTGTAACAGTGAGAAAATTCAGTTATATATCTCATGTGTTATCTTTCCAGTTGTTGGGTTGGGAATGTTTTAATTACATTTGTTTACATCCTATGGTGTCTGTATTTAAATACATTTATATGGGCCTAGTACAGGCTTACCTAGAATTTATAAAATTAGAAACAATAATTATTTGTTGGGCTGGAGATGTAGCTCAGTGGCACCGTGCCTGCCTGGCAAACACAAGGTCCTGAGTTCGATCCCCGGTACCAAAAAAAAAATACTATTATTATTATTTGTTTCGGGGGGGATTATTCTGTTTTCAAGTGAGTTGACAAATTAATATAAAGCCACCCACCTAATTTTAAAACATCACAGTTATCATTGGCTGTTTTTAATGGGAATGTTCAGGGTACAGTGTAAATGCTTCAGAAGAGACCCTAGTAGACAGCAGAACTATTTCCTCTGGCATGCTTTTCTTTGAGACCTGTCCCTAAAAGTTTTCAGATGGAGCCATCCCTCCATTCAGTTCTTGAAAGCTGCCCTCTGCTGGAGTGGTTGGTTTCTCTTACAGATTGGTCATATCACTCTTATCTCCAAACTAAGTAAGACATTAGCATGGTAAGTTTTCATTTTCCTTTTTTCCTATTCCTCCAGCCTCCATAATTCCAAGAGTAATCACTTCTGAGCAGTAAATTACAGTACAGTTATTGTTTATAAACAACATTGTCTTTGACTTGGACTTTTTGATCCTGGAAAAAAAATTATAAGAGAATCCTGGATCTATTGAGACCAGTTAAAGAGATCATCTGGTTCAGGTTGCTGTTCAGAAGAATCTCTAAACTGCCTTAAATAAACACGTGATAGAGGAGTGAGGAACTTAGAAAGGTTGTAACTTTAACACAAGTGTCAGTATAAACCTCCTTGAGGTCTTGAGCACAGCTTTCTCTCTCCATCTGATCTGATATTTAAAACACAATCAGCCTGGAATAATTTGACTGCCATGAGTTTCTAAAAGTCTCCATTAGTCTCTAAATCTGAATTATAATTTTTTGACATGTTATTTTATAACTGTCAGAGGTCCATAGAAACTTGAAGCAACACACAGAGTCCTGTCAGAACAAAGTCTTATCATACAAGTTAGTATAGTTTGATAATAATATCGGGAACTTACAAGCAGTGTTTCAAAGTAACAAAAAGCAATGCTTTTGAAGTATCCAAAAAGTTGATTCTAAAGGTTAAAACTTCACCCTACCATATTGGTTTAGCAGTCTTTTTCTCATAGAAGCTTGACTTCTCCTTCACTCCTGGATAAATAACCAGAATTTAAGTTGTAAGAACTCTGAATTAATCATATTGTCTCATACAGCAGGCCTTTTAGCATTTTCTAATAGCATTCTTTGATTTGTAAGTGATACCAAAAGTTCTTGGCACATAGTTATCTATCATCTTCCAAATAATATGCCAATACACTATTTCAATTTTTGGATAAGTTGATAAAGCTGAAGGCAGATGCCACTGGGACAATTTTGGTATAGTTAATAATTTGAACTCTGTACACTGAAAATTTAGTTAACAAACAGATTTCAGATTTATGATTAAGGATCCATGCTCTAGAATCTAGTTGATGATATGAGCATAAGTATCTCATTCTCATTCTTCATGCACATTGAAAATATTACATGCCACTTATGATAGTATATAGTATAATACCATCTCATCTTCTCTTTCCCTCAAGAATCATATTTTAAAAACAAGAATACTTGGCAACTTGGACCTGTGGATTCTGTTTCCTTTCTTAAGATAAGCTGAACTAAAACTTGGCAAAAGACATTCTGCTGTTCGATGTTAGCAGAATTAACATTCTCCACATTAGTCAAAGGGAAGAGAGGGTGGTGTGTTGGAGCTCGAAATACAGCCAAGTGGGAGATTCACAATTCCTTTTAGCACACATCATACTGGCAGGGATTCCAGTGTGAGTAGGGCATTTAACTGCCTATATCTACCTGGATAGAAAAAAAGTCATTGAAACCCTAGAGCTAGATCCTCAGCCAGGAGATAGTAATAATCAGACTCAGAGCCATGTCCCACAGACCACCAGAGGCTTGTCATCACCACACCTGTCCCATTGCCAGGTTCCCCGAGGAGGAGAGGGTGGGGAAGATCTGCTAGCGTCGGTATACCCTCCCTAGTCTACTTAGAACCTTTACTCTCAGCAGCACCCTCAACAGGCACATATAAACATGCATGTGTGCACATATAACGTACCCCATATTTCAAAGACTTAAATAATTATATGTATTTTATCCTCACAAAAGAGCCCAGGGTCCCTTCTTATTTAGAAAGATGATGAGAAGCAGTTGGAGGGAATCAGGAAGTCCCAAGGAATTGGCTTTTTCAGGACCTCATTCCTTTCTTTTCTCATCCCTATTCTGCTTGACAGAAGTGGAATTCAAGAGAAAGAGTAGAGCAGAAAAATTCCAGAAGTGGGTGGAGTGCAAACATAGTTTAGAAATTCAATGTATGAATATTGGGAATGTGGACTGGCATGCTCAGCTGGACTAGATCAGATCAATGGGATTTTCCAGTTTTATGTAAAAGCAAGCACAAAAGTTGCCAGCAGGTCTGTCCCCTCAAAGAGGAAGGGGATGAGAATAATGAAACCATTTCCTCCTCTTCTTGCTGTGTCCCACTAGCCTCTTAAGACTTCTCTCTCTTGTCCTGTTCTGAGATGCTTGATTGTAAATAAATAACCCTCCCTTCAGAGTCAGCTGAACAGAAGATTCAGAATCAATCACAACCAACTGATGCTTAAACATACATATATGAAAATATTTTGAATCTCCTTTTTTTTTCTTGTGGGATGATTGATCCTCGTATTTAAACATACCTTTTAGAGTAAAATCCAAACTCTTTCAGTTAGTACACACAGTTGTCCATAGCCTGACTCTTGTCTGGAGCCTCTACCATCTCTTCTCCTCCACTTTTGCTAAGTATAAGTCGTAAATGACTCACACTGTTGCATGGCTTCATGCTCTCGCTCAAACTGTTGTTCTCTTTCTCTAACTACTCTCTTCTGTCTTGTGTTACCTGTTTTCCACTTCAGCACCCATTTCAAGCACCCCCTCCCCGAGAATGACTCCTCTGTTCTTACTCCCCACAGCTGGCATTTTCTTTCTTTATCTGAGGTACCACATCATCTATGTACATCTCTGTCATTAGAAGTCAATGTGTATCACTCAAAAAATGTATTTCCTGAAACACACCATTCATTCATTCTTCCATTGACACAAACATTCACTCAATAAATCTTTGTTGAATGTTAGGCTTTTAAGAGTAGCTGGAACATAGATACAGACACCTGGAAAAATAACCAACAGTCATAAAATTATACCTGATGCAATATTAGAGCTGTAGGTCTTTGACAAAGATCCTATTAGTGTACATAATCTAGAGGAAATGGAAATATTTTGTTTGCTAGAGGCCTGGATACTCTGGAACTAAATATATAATCCTAAAAGTTGTTTTAAATTCAAAGCAAAAAGAAAAACAAAATTATTGTATAATCTTCCAAATGTACCCATTATATAGACTTAATGGGAGTCCTAATAAATGTGGCACTGTGGAGTTGTCTCTTCTAGATGACTTGGTCATTTAGTAAGGTATGCAATTGAGATTTACCTTGTAAATGAGCAAGTTGCCCTCATCATTTTCCAAGTACATGCTATAATGAGAATGAGGAGAAGAAGGAAAGAAAGGTAGGGAGACCAGGAAGATAAAAGAAGGCCAGGTTTGGAAGCAAGCACAAAGACAGCTCAATATCACATGGAAATTGGGGCTAGTCAGCAATTCATCTGGGAATTACTGACCCCATGCATGCTGCCCACACTGTGCCATCGCGGGAATGAGGGCTCAGTTTCATTTGGGGCGCCCAGCCATAGGAACATTCCCAAGATTAAGCTCTTGCATTGTGAGACCATTACCTAAGGATTCCTCTCCACACCAGTTCCTGAGAAGAGTTTACCAAAGCAGTGACAGGCATGCTGGCAGGGTTTGTTGGTTTATAGTAAATGAAGTGCAGCCCTTCCCCTTCTGACCTGCTTGTCTTTGTATCTACAGAATGATGCTCAGCATGACAGGAATCCCAGGGCTTCTTTTCCTTCTCCTCCTCCTGCTCTGTGTTGTTGGGCAAGCGAGTCCCTACGAAGCCCTCTGGAAACCCACTTGGCCTGCTTACCGCCTCCCTGTCGTCCTGCCCCAGTCTACCCTCAACTTAGCCAAGCCAGACTTTAGGGCAAAAGCGAAATTGGAAGTGTCCTCCTCATGTGGACCCCAGTGTCACAAAGGAACTCCACTGCCTACATATGAAGAGGCCAAGCAGTACCTGTCTTATGAGACGCTTTATGCCAATGGCAGCCGTACAGAGACCCACGTGGGCATTTACATCCTCAGTGATGGCAGACGTGGGGCTCAACACCAAGACTCAAAGTTGTCGAGAACATCTCGGAGGAAGCGACAGATTTATGGCTACGATAGCAGGTTCAGCATTTTTGGGAAGGATTTCCTGCTCAACTACCCTTTCTCAACATCAGTGAAGTTATCTACAGGCTGCACTGGCACCCTGGTGGCAGAGAAGCACGTCCTTACAGCTGCTCACTGCATACATGATGGGAAAACCTATGTGAAAGGAACACAGAAACTTAGAGTGGGCTTCCTGAAGTCCAAGTTGAAGGATGCTGGCCGAGAGACTAACACCTCCATCTCAGCCACACCAGAGAAGATGAAATTTCAGTGGATCCGGGTAAAACGCACCCATGTGCCCAAGGGTTGGATCAAGGGCAATGCCAATGATATTGGCATGGATTATGACTATGCCCTCCTGGAACTGAAAAAGCCTCACAAGAGAAAGTTCATGAAGATTGGGGTGAGCCCTCCTGCTAAACAGCTGCCAGGGGGCAGAATCCACTTCTCTGGCTATGACAATGATCGACCAGGCAACTTGGTGTATCGCTTCTGTGACGTCAAAGACGAGACCTATGACCTGCTTTACCAGCAGTGTGATGCCCAGCCTGGGGCGAGTGGCTCAGGGGTGTATGTGAGGATGTGGAAGAGACAGCAGCAGAAGTGGGAGCGAAAAATTATTGGCATCTTTTCAGGGCACCAGTGGGTGGACATGAATGGTTCTCCACAGGATTTCAATGTGGCTGTTAGAATCACCCCTCTCAAATATGCCCAGATTTGCTATTGGATTAAAGGAAACTACCTGGATTGTAGGGAAGGGTGACATAGTGTTCCTTCCTGGCAGCACTTAATGGTCTTTATGTACTCACTGTAGGAGAGGCCAAGTTTTATCTTTGGCATGTGTGTGCGTGCGTGTGTGCCTGTGTGTAATATGTCATGATATTCTTTACTTTCTCAAAATGCAAAATGACTGGCTTTATTGAAAACTGGTTTGTGTATCATCACTTAAGCAGTTCTAAAGCATAGTTTTGTATAGAATTTTTTTAAATACTGTTGTTTGGGGCAATAGAGAATATTTAGGAATTAAGTTAATGTTTCACTGTTTTGAGAACTTTGATTTTTTATTTCATCTGAGCTTATTTCAAAAGTTTATATTAAGTGGCATAGAGGAAATATGAATTCCTATGTGTGTATGTATGTGATTTCTTAGATTTATATCTTGATATTTTTTAATGACTGATTAATAATGCTTCCAGATGGTAGAGGTCCTACTACATACAACTTTATAAATTTTCACAAAACTTAGAGAGTTGTAACGTTTTGGACTAGGAGACATCTGTATAATAGCCCTTGAACAGTAATTTATTGGCTATGTTAAACTGTATCTCACAGTAAACAAGTACCCCAAACTGCTTTTAATTTTGAAAATAGTTTCTCTTCCAAAGACTGTTGCTCTGCTTTGTGGGAAATCATTGGACATGATTCTGCCATGTCTTTGGACATGACTTTGCACTCACACTAGAGTAGACAAGATCATTTTGCTCAGTTCTGCCGTATAACAAGAGTTCACTCACATTTCTAGAGCTAGCTGTTTTCCAAAAGACAGTAATCAGGGCCTAATTAGAACAGGCTGTATTGCTTCCTAGCTAACAGTTGTGGACACAATAAAAACAAGCGCGGCATTTTACCCCTGGAGTGTAGCACATCTCATGTTTTATCATTTGGATAGAGTAATTTAAAATGAATTAAATTCCAGAGAACAATGGATGCATTGCTTAGCAGATGTCACAACAGAATAACCACTTGTATGAAGTCTGGCACAGTCACACAGCCTAATCAAAATTATTCTGCATAGTTTTCTGTGTGCTTTTGGAGAACTGAGTAGTTGTTTGATTTGGAAGCTTTCTCTCTCACTGTCCTTATTTTATAGTAAAAACACTTGGAAGTTGCCTCTCCTCACTTGAACTTTAAAAAGGCACCTTTTTCTGGAATACTTTAGGCTTTAGGCAAATATGTAATCAGGTACAACAGTAAAAAATGAAAATTGGGAAAATGCAAAATGGGTGAGGATCATGTACTCCAATAAATGTTTTATAAATATAATAATCATAGCATTGAGAGAAAAGACTTGAACTCCTATGCTTTTGAGTCTTGGCCTAAGCACTTTTAAGTGTAGAAGTAGAGAAAAAACAGCAAATGGAATATGAGATAATTTTTGTGTTCTTGTACCCTGGGTTATTGCAGCCTATATTGTGGCTGTGAAGATACTCAAATACAGCAGTGTCACTAAAATATTATGCTGGTGGCTTGTGTGTTTTTTGAGCTTTTAAAAAGGATATCCTGATAAGGCACTCAAGTACAACCATGTGCTTTCGTCAATTCACGTAAGAAATATTGCGCATAGCACAAAGTTGCAGAGGCGCCAGGAATCTTATGAGTTCACTACAATTTGCTGTGGAATCTAATAGGAATCTCGCCTGAGGAAGCAAGAGAAGTCTCCATTTCTAAGTCTGGTATTTGGGGTTTTCTGTTTGCTTTTGCTTGATGAAAAAAAAAATAACTGATTTTTTGATAGATACTCCTTTTATAAAACTTGCTTTCTTGATTTTGATTTCTTATGAAGTTAGACAGTGGCACAAAAGTCAAAATAATATCAATGCTTAGTTCACAAGAAGTTCTAATTTCTAAACTAAAATTCTAATTTCTAAACTGAAGTTCTCATTTTACTAATTTACTTAAGTACCCATGTGCTATATATAGCATCACTCATAGACCTGTAAAATTGTAATTTAACGTGTGCACCATTTCAGTGGTAATAGAAAGTATATTATTTGACTATCCTAATTGTGGGGGAAAGCACTCATGATATTAATATAACTGGTACTTTACATGTACTAGTTATGTATACTGTAAGCATATATTCCTAGCAAGGATAGGAAAACAATATTTCTCACGATATATCACAAGTGTCCCTGCAAAAATAAAGAGTACTTCCATCGAGTAGGGAAGAGATGCCTGTCAGTATTCCCTGTTTTTATCAGGGGTTCACATACCTGCTTACACATTAAAAACTCTGGAAAATCCTGTAGTAAAGAGACTTGTTCATATTTTTAAATCTGTATTTCAATAAATATCTTTGGTCACAAAACCCTTGTTTTCTTCTATAATGCCTATGAGCAGTGTAGACTTCTAATACATTTTAGGGCTTGTTATAACAGACTTCAGAGCAAGGTGGTGATGCAGAAGTATTATGAGTTCAAGTGGTGTCAGGTATCTGTGGCTGTGGGGCTTAATAAGACACTATAAGTGGGATTTGGAAATGTTTACAAAGTAAAAATGTGAAGAATAAACCTGAAAATCATTTATAGGTGAAAATCAGAAAGTTGTGGCAGAATCTGAAGCACAATATTTGCACAGAATTTTGATTTTGAAAAGCTGGTATAAAAGAAACTAGAGAATTAGCACTGAAGAGGTAAAGAAACGAGCTAGCAAGAGGCAGAGTTGTATGTGCATTGTTTCTTTACAAAGTTAGATAATAATACAAAAGTCAGAAAGGGATTAGAATGCTGAGACCATGCTCCTAATTCTTTGTGGAGCTCCAGCTACCTGCTCCTTGGAAGGGGAAACCCGCAGTGACACCTGGGTGACGTATTTAAGGTAGTGATTTTTTTGAGGTAGTGGATGTCTAAGCCTCCCCGGAAATGATGACTCTCTAGTCTACTGTCTGCTGATCAACCGGCCCCCGCACTAGCCTGGATTTCCTCCTTGCTGTAGCTGGGTCTTACTGTTGTTTGCATCTGTGTCTTCATTTTTATAATAAACAAATCAAGGATGCCTTGAAGTTACCTCTGTCAGTTGATTTCTGTGGATGTTTGATGGGGTAGCCATTTATCATCAAGAATAGGCTCTTTTAAGACTAATTTAATGAGGCTGGGGCAGTAGGCACAAACCAGGTATGTCCTGGACGAACAAGCATGTTTGGTCACCTTGACAGTTAAACTCTATGGAAGCACTCCATAGAATGAAGACTGACCGACCATACTGCATCTCCCTGCATCTCAGTTCTGGGCTTCTCCATGGCTCCTGCTGCATGCCTTCTTTGCCTGGATCAGCATTCTGAGATGCTGCAGTAGAGGAAGGGCATTTAAAAATCCTCTTGTTAAGGACTAGAATACCTGGGGGGAAACATGGAGCCATTTCTAGCAGATGTACAACACATTTGTTTTCAGTCTGGCATTTCTCCAGAGGAAGACATAAGCTTCCAGGACAAGAATAAACAAGGCTGAGTGCTGAGATAGCACAGTGGTGTGGGAAGGTGATGGTCTTGGAGTTGGGAAGACTGATGGCATAGTTACCTGGTTCTTTTTGACAAATCTCAATGAGATTTAATTTAAAATTTTAACCTTCTTATCTCACTTAAATATCCTCCCTCTTCCGGTCTTCATCTCCTCCAGTAGACTGGGATGGGGCAGAGGAAGAGGGAAAGAACAGTCATGTTAACCTGATTACCGTGATTGTGCCCTGCTGTTGGTAGCTGCTGCGTCTTAGATGGTATCAGCACTTCTACCCTCCTTGTCTCTTATCTATGGTGGTGTAACCTTCTGCCTCTTTCTGCTGGGGACATCTTACCTAAAAAATAGCCCTCTTGAGTGAAGAGCTAGCAAAATGCCTCAAACCCAGCCATCCTCTTCCATACCTGAATAATCCATTAGAAACTCAGACTTGCTACTTCAGGCTCAGTGAACTAAAGTTAAGGGTCCTGTCAGGATGAAATTTGGACTGCTGAAGGGACAGACAGCACCTAGTGAGGCCACAGCAGAGTGAACAAGGAAGACAGGAGAGGAGAGGAGAGAGATAGATTGAATCTGGTTCTGGCCCTCTCATGTAGCAGATAAGATTTCTGGCAAGGCCTTATGAATTCCTTCTATTTGCCAGGAGATAAAGACTTTCAGGAGGGGATCTGGTGGGGTCTAATCAAGACCAAGTTATCTCCATGGTACAGTAGGCCCACATTTTAGGGATCCAAAAAATGTTTGAATTTCTTTTAAAATCAGAAGGAAAAAAGTGAACTTCTACTTCTAATAAAAATTTTTAATATGTAATGTTAATATATTTACCTTTATACAATACAATTACAAAATATAATTTTAATATTTTTAATGATGGATGGGGCCTAGGAAGGCAAAATGCCTAATGCCCGCAAAAGTCACAGTGCGGCCCCAAATCAGACACACACTTCACAGCATCTTTTTGGATGCTAAATGGAAGAATGGGTTTTAGAGGGTAGAAATGGGAAAACTATGAATTCAGGTAAGAAATGTAGCTAAATTTGATGAAGGAAGTAGAGACTATTGAGTAGTAGTCACACTTGGTATAGAGTAGATGTTTGAAAGTAGAGCCAGATAGGTTAGGTAAAAAGAGACATCAAGACTGAGGTTGGGGATGTAGCTTAGTGGTAGAGCACTTGCCAGAATGCATGAGGTTCAATCCCCAATGCTGGGAACCAAAAGTGACTCCTAGGATTGGGGCCTGAGCATCAAAGTAGAGGCCATGTGCCATTTGCTGAGATTGAAACAATGATTAGGATTAAGATTTTATAAAAATCAAGAACTTTTGTATTGGTCATGTTAGGTTTATAATGTCTCATGGACACCTAAATGGCAATGTCAGATCAGCAGTAGCAGCTTCAATTGTGAAGTTCAATAGAAAGTGTCTCTGATGCACAGGTAGATGATATTTAAAGCCATAGAGGGAGATTGTGTCACCTGGGGAGAGAAGGAGGCTTGAGAGGAGGGCTGAGGATCCAGCAGTCTGCCAACATTTAGAGGTTGGCTTTAGTAGAGGAAGAAGAGGAGGTGGAGACAAGTAAGCAAGAAATCTGTAAGAAGCAGCCAGTAAAGTCCGAGAAAAACCAGGAAAACGTGGCCACACAAAAGCCAAAAGAAAAAAGAATTTAAAGCCAAGAAGGGGGAGGAAAGAAAAAGAGTGGACAAAACCAAGAGGTGTTTTAGATATTGAGAATGTCCCGCTGGCTATGGGGACACTGTGAACAGCGCCTCCCCTTGAGCATTTCTAGTGCTGTGAAGGAATGACTAATCAACTGAATCCTCCCACAGAGACTTGGGACAGCTCTTCCCACAGAAAGTGCAAGAACCCAGGGCCAAACCCTTCGTGGAGTGAGGGTTGGGTGTGAGCACCAATGAGACCATGAAAAAAAGAAAACAAAACAACTCAAAGAAGCCCACTGATGTCCCCTCCTGCCTGGCCTGATGTTTTCTGAGAGGTAGAGAGAGCAGGGTGACCCTTTACTGTGGTATTTGTGTGTATATCAAGTGTGTAAAAATACCAAGTGCTCTCTTAATGCTGATTTATCACTGCCCCTGACTACAGAACACTGAAAGGACTTAAGGCATTCTCTTCCATAAAGAGAAAGGTTGGCTTTGAGAAGAGTCAAGTTCCAATCCAATGAAGCAAGACTGGAATGTTCACATTGGGGAGGATGAGGAGAGTTTCAGGAAAGGCAATAAACAGAGCAAATGGTTGGAGTCAGAGCAGCAGCCCTGGGAACAGCAGCTCAATGAGTTTTCACCGGAAGGCTTCCCTGGCCATCTTCTCTGAGAGTCCAACCATCCGGCCCCTATCTTGAGCAGTTCTGATGCCCTTTCTTGCCTGTCTCTGCCGAGCACTTACCATTGTCTCACACACTTTATATTACAGTTATTTATTTTATTTGTCCTTCTCTGCCACTAAAATGTAATTTAATAAGGGCAGTTTTAGTCTGTTTTCTTCCCATGCTTAGAACAGTGCCTGACACTTAGGTTTTCAATACATCGTAATTTTTCCAATGAATGACCGAATGAATGATCTTAGTGGTTTTATATAACCTATAGCACCATGACTTGGGATTACTTCACCTTGAATATTCCTGGAGGCCAAACCCAGAAAAAACTCATGCAATGTCTTGAATCCCTTCTGTTCTATTCTATTATGTAATGCATTGAAATTATTTGTGTGTATCTCTCTCCTACTAGACTGTGAGCCTTACAAGAGCAAGGGCTGAAGTCTGTTACTCTCTGCTCTATTGTCTGGCCCGTGGTCTAGCACAGGAAATGCTCACTAAAGAAATGAATGGATGTCTGTCATGACTTAGTCAGTGGCCCAGTGACTGTCTCCTCTACCACATCTCCCATGTAACCAGTCAGGCAACAAGTTGTTTAGATTCTGTGTTATCCATCTCTTTCTTCGCAGTTCCTCTACCACTGCTCTGATTCTCTTATTCTCTCTTCTTTAAACTATGACAGAAGACTCCAAACTGGATTCTGAGCCTTCCAGTTCATCATAGTTGCCCAAGACAAGTTTTGAAGCAAAGTCCTGATCAGGTTCCTTCTGTTTCCTGTTGACCAAACTGTCACCACTACAGAGGGTGAAGTTTTGTTTTCTTTGAATCCAGGTCTCTGGTTTATCCTCCATTGTTCTTTGGAGTCATTTGACCTGGCCTCCAAACAAGTTGTACTGGGGGATCTGTTCCTTTTGTTTTGTTTTGATTTTTGCTTTGTTTTTACAGTGCTGGGAATTTAACCCAGGGCCTTTGGACTGAGCTATATTTTCACCACATTTTTTATTTCAAGACAGGATGTCCCTAAGTCACTAGTTGCCCAGGCTGGGCTTGAACTTGCTATCCTCCTGCCTCAGCCTCCCAGAGTGCTGGAATTATAGGCATTCATCACTATGCCTGGATACATCTGTCCTTTTAAGCTTCTGTCATTGCCTAAGCTCTCCTTCGCTCTTGAGGTTGCCCTTCCCTATCTCTTCAATATTCAATTATTTATTAAGCAGATGTCACAAAATGGGTGCTGGCCAATCATGCTCATCACAGGGCTGCAGAGATTATGAGACGCCTCCCTGAACTCAAGATGTCTCTGCATCCTCTCTTGTTAAAGTCACTGTAGTCCTGACATTTGCTCGGTAACTACCCTCTCCACAAACATATGTTGGCTTTAGTGAAATGGGATTTCCACTTTATAAATTGAACTTGTTGAATGTTTCCCATACATTTTAATAAATCTTTGAGTTACTGTCCAGCTTGATTAGTGCATTTCCTTTCTTGAGTTTATTGCTATTTGTTCTATATCCATTTCCCTGATGGAAAAATGCCATGTTTGGTAAACCCATATAACACAAGTGTGGCTAATCTCCTGTGGATAAGCCACTCTTGGACATGAGGACATTGTCCTTTAACAGTGACATGTTTTACTACTCCAGGATATTTACCAGACTGGTCAAACACAGAGTTAGAGGATTCCAGAGAAATGTCACAATTTTTTCTACCTTAATAAGAGAGAAATGTTTTATTTCTATAATTGCATCAAAAAGAATCCGTTCAATTCCTTTATTATATTTTTATTGATCAGCTGCATTATGCCTCATTCGGTTCTTTAAGCCTTTTCATATCCAACATTCTCTTCTTTCTATTCATCCTAATTCTAAAAAAAAAAAAAGGTAAGTGCTATAAAGATCTATGTGGAGAAAGAATTTGACTTGAAAATCTATTTATAAGACCCACTTGTAGAAAATGATAAAACACAACAATCAGACTTGAGTCATAAATCTGGACATTAACATTTGTGATCAGATTTATTTTCAGTCCTTTGTTTTTCAGATGGCCCATTTTTGCATGAAAAATGTAATTTTTGGATAGTGTGAAAGAGCCTTTAACTTTTTTTATTACTTGCTAACCATAAACTTCTGTTTCCCTAGTTGTTTCCTATTTCATTTATAGTGTATCTTGGATCAAGTTGACTGTGGAGCTCTGTATCCCCTTTATGTAGCATTTCTTTTAGA